TACATATGCACGCAGAGAGAGCTTTTCAGATTTATAAAGGCCTCAGTCTCTGAATGGAAATTTTATACAGGAATTAGAGCTTCTGGGGTTTTTTACAGATATTTCTTCATCCTTTCCCTGGCTAACTTTTTTTAGGAAAGTTTCCAGGGAATGTTCATTTCCTTTGTTCCAGTAGGTAGGACTGCTCCTCAGGGTAAGGGCTTGGAGCCTTCAACCTCATGGCCCTCTCTGGTGTCTACTTACCAGTGAGTCATCTGAAAATAACAGCCTGGCATGAAGAAACCAGTAATAAGACAAACTGCTTGAGGGTTTGAAGAAGACTCAACCAGTAGTTAAAAGTAAAACCTGCTCTTCTTTTTAATGGGACTGGGCTGGAATTATCTGTTAAGCTCCCAGTTGTACTATCCAGGCAAAGCCTAACACAAACCACACCACCCCCCAAAATTGATATTAACCAGGCAGTTGTTGTGTTGCACTGGGGAGATGAACACAGGTAAAAATATCACACGTCCTGGCCTTTAGAAATTACATGAGACATCTGGATAAGTTTGCCTGACTAATGCCAAAAACAACTTCCCTGCCCTCAGCAGAGCACTGAGGCAGCACGAGCCTGGTTGCTCCTCATCAGCATTCCTGCTAATTAGAAGTGTCCTTCTGTCCATGGGGAATAAAAGGGAAAGCAACAAAATGTTTTCTTCCAGACTGTGTGGGGAAAAAAACCACCAAAAAACCTCAACAAAAAAACCAAACCAATCAACCAAACAAACAGATAAGGAAAAACAAAGAAAAGGTTCATCTATTTGGTTTAGACCTTTGAGATCATCCCTGTTACCCCAGCACTGCCAGTGTCCCCAGGTGCCACATCTACATGTCTTTTAAATCCCTCCAGGTGTGCTGTAGACGTAGACAGACAGGTGTAGAAATGTGCAGAACCATCCTTTACTCCCAGAGCTTCCTTTGGGGTGAAACATTTACAATGTGCTTCTTGTTTGAGCTGACTGTTTCCATCATTCTTAGAGGGTCTGTAATGCAGCTGCAGAAATCCTGCACAAGATGATGGGGTTCCTGCTGCTGTTGCAGCTCCAAGGCCGTTCCCCCTCCCAGTTCTGTGGTGCCCATGGTAACACACCATAAAACACCATCCCATAAAAACCAGCTCACTGCCAGTGCTGCCCGACAGCTACAAGGAATCACAAAAGGTAATAAAAATGATTCACATTCACCCTCTCCTTCCTTTAAAAGAAAAGCTGGTTAAAAGAAAAAAAAAAGGGCCAAACTGAAAATGAGCATCAGCAGCTCCCACCAGGGTGAAGCCGACACTGTCACTTTTGGGAGGGACAGGGCTCCCTTTGATTTCCAGGTGAAATCAGTGCTTGAGGCTTCACAGGGAGCAATCCCTCCACCAACAGCTCCAGCCAGGCAGAGCAAACATCTGTCAGTCTGGAGGAAAGGGCTGCACCAGCGACTGGAGGTCAAAATGCGTTCCAGCCTCTGAATCTGTGGGTGGGTTTGGGTTTGGCCTAATTCAGCTGTGCTAGGCAGGTACAACGATGGGCAGGTTGGTTTTCTTGTGCTCTGGGGAAATGCACAGCACATTAACCAGATCTGTTTACAAATAGAGCAGCTAAAGGGGAACATGGTGAAAGGCTGGGACCATCTAAGGTAGCATGTGCTACGCTTGGTTTACAGCACTCATCCTAAAACAGCCTAGAAATGTTTTCGGGAGAGTTAGCAGGGAAAATTTTTCTTTGTGGACTATGTCAAAATATAAGTTAGAAGTATAAAACAACAACTTCTTTCAAATGATGGAATGCACTCTATGAGTTCTCACTCTGCTATCCAGAGCTCACTCACAAAATAAAGTGAATATTTTCCAAGTACCTTCTGACATGAACTTTTACCAAAAAAATAAGTCAGATGATGAATTATGTGTTTTTGTGTATCTGTGTGATAAGCCATCTGTAAAAGGAATACTATGTGAATATTAATAAATATGCAGTGAGCTAGGATTGTATTTCAGACTATATTGATCATATTAATGAGAATGGTAATGTGTTTATGTTTATTATGATTAACAGAACTGTGTTCATGTTGCGTTTTCCATTTGAATGAAATCAACTTTCTCCTTCTAAAATTGCTGAAGATGAACACTAAATACAGAGAAATGATCAGTGAATAAGCTCCTGTAAAACCCTTTTCACTTCTATGTCAAATCTAATATGCTTACTATAAATTAATCTTGAAAAGTAAATGCTATTGACAGTTGTGGACATAAATACTCAAAGGGGGGAGAACCTGATCTTTGCAACAACAAGTACAACCAAGTAACTTCCACTGAGCACAAGATTAAATAATGCTCATGAATTTCAATAACAGCACACGTGAGCTTGAAGGTAGAACACAAGAGCAGCTTTCCTGGAGACTGAGCTCACAAAGATACTCTGGTTTTCCAGTTAATGAGAAAATAAGTTTGGCTGCCCTAAAGACATATCTTAACAAAATAATTAACTGTAAATGAGCTGCTGTATCACTATCAGAGTAGAGAGAGTCCAGCTATAACTTCAGGGCATATGCAGAGGAAAAAAAAAGAGCTGAAATAGTGAGACAAATTCTGTTCACATCAGAATTTAAACACAGGTGGTTTGAATTTGTTTTGGTCTTTTTTGGTTTTGTTTTTTTTTCCTCTGTCTCTTGCATTTCTTCTCTGGGAGCAATTCAAATAGTTGCATTTTGAAATTACCTTGAGACTTGCTCCTGTAAACAGGAAAAACTGTGTAAAAAAGGAACCAGCTTCCTTCTGAAATGTTGAGTGAAGCTCATATTGCTGGTCTAGCTGAAGATGTCCCTGCTCATTGCAGGAGGTTGGGCTGAACAAACTTCAAAGATCCATTCCAACCCAAACCACTTGAAGATTTTCTCCAAACAAAATAAAGGTTTTCCCTGACTAGAGCTTGTAGTTCTGGAGAGAGGTCCAAGAAAGATGAATTGAGAAGGTAGATGCACGAGATGGAAGTTTTCCTGAAGATGCACGATCCAAACACTGTCAGGACACCCCTCCAGGCCCCAATGACAGCACAGAGAGGGTAAAACTGGAATGCAGTGAAGCAGAGATGGCTAGGGAGTGCCAGAAGATGAAAAGAAGGGGGTTTCCATGGAAATTGAACTTATTTTTGTCAGCAGAAACAATTTCCTGTAATCCATCAGCAAAGGCTGTCCATCCAAACACAGATGGACAGAAGTTTGTGCAGCGTATTGGATTCCTGTCTGCCCACTAAGGGTGTTCTCACCACACTTTTACTTTTCTGTATGAATATTATTATACTTAGAATTTGGTGCAAAGAACAGGGAATTTTATAGCCTATTCTGGGCACTGCAATTCTCATCATGAAGTTATTAGCAAGGAGGAATGAAAGCAATTGTGAGGGAACAATGAGGTTATAATCATAACTTGTTCTTCCCCATTCAAAATTATGCTCCTGTGATCTCCATTTTGCTCTAACTGGGAGCTGCTTTTTAACTTGGGAAATTTTCAATAATGAAGCAGAGAAGGAAATTGCTGGACATTTCTTTGAGCCATAAACTTCCTAGAAATGCAGTGGGAATGTCATAATCAGCAGGCTCATGGCTTTCAAAGTGCTGTGTTCATCTGACAGTTCTTTCAATCATTTTTTTTTTAGTAAAATACATCTGTAGCCATTGAGCCATTGTGTAATCCCCCCACACACCTGGAAATTATAATGTGGGATGTCATGATTTATTTCATAGCATAAAAGCTCTTAAATGAATACTGACAGCACCATTAGTGTTCTGATCTTGAACTGAAGTGCAAGTCAGCTCTGCTTAAGTCATCATTCTCACGATCCACAAATAAATGTGCAGTTTTAAAAGGTGCTGGGGGTTAATCAGAGCTGAATCAGTCACGAAAAATTCATAATGAAGGGAGCAATTGAGGAAATGACACGCTGAAGCTCTTCCCCCAACACAGTTTCTCTAAGCAGCCAATGCCAAGGACCCCAGAACACCAAAACCTGATGTGAAAGCTTGGTTAATTCTGAATTAACTGGGAGATGCTGATGCTACTTCAGCAGCTGCATCTTGTGCTTTGACTGCTCCCACCTGCACCTGGTACCTCGTTCCCACTCTTGGCAAGCAGAACCCAAATGGGCTCCACACAGCCTGGACTCCTCTGTTATCTCCTTTTTCTGAAAATCATGTTCTGTCTCATTTGTTCCTTAATGCCAAACTCTTATTGTTCTACGTATTTAAACATTTTTTTTTCACCTCCTTTTTGGAGGTGAAAAACTGGATGCCTGTCCCTAGATCTTTATGAATTCTGTTGGTTTATAAATATTTATCACAACTATTTTAACAGCAACAGCTGTGATCCTTTAACATGCAGAGGTTGTGTTATAAAGGGTCAAGCACTCTGTCCCTCTTCCCAGTTTCCAGAAGATTTCAAATTGTTCCCGTTTGACACTCTACTAACAGGGCTGAACATAACTCAAGGAGGAACAGTTCTGTTTAATGAGGGATAATTGTTTTTCATTCAAGTTTAGACATTATTTGTAGCTTTACTTGCATGTTTATCCCAGTTCTTTAGTCCAATCTATTTAAAGGGATCAGCAACCTTCAAATTAAATCATAAACCACTCAACCTTCCAGACTTGTGGCTTGGCTTGTTCTTGAGTATTCCATAATAATTTATATCTCCAGTGAGAATCTCCAAATTCAAGTAGTTTTCACATGGTCATTTATCAACTTTTTCCCTTAGATGAACCCAGAACACCTAAAAAGGGGACTATAAATACATTTTTTTTTCAAATGAGACTAAATCACATTTACCTTCTTTCCCCCCTTTCCGCTGCTTACAAAAGGATTTATCAGTAAATCCAAACTAACTCGTTTAAACTGAAATAACTGTTAAGTAAAACCGAATAATGCAGTATTGGTAGGCAGAAGTGATTTCTCATTCCAAATGAAGTGTTTCTTTTCCCACTTAGAGCTCCTAACGGGACCCTGATAAACGGAGTAGGATGGCCAGCCTTCACCAGTACTGAACAGAAATATTTGACCCTGAGCACCAGCACTCCAGAGATCCTGACGAAACTCCGGGCTCAGCACTGTCGATTCTGGAAATATTTTTTCCCCAAAGTCTTGGAAATGACAGGTAAAAAAACCCCAAAAAACAAAAACAACAAACCTTTTCTAGATGCTTTTATATAAAACTTTTATGCAGGATTGTTTGCTCGATGTTAATGTGATACTCGAGCTCAGATCTTTATATTATTTGTAACTGAGATGTTCAAGTGGTAGAAAAAACTGTCCCTGATGAGGTGCCCGGGACGTGCCTTGTGCTTCTGGCCTGAGGTCACCACCCTGTTTTATGTTAGGATGAAAACTGGGGACAAACCAAGGCCCAGAACTTTGGGATGTGGAGTTTCTCTGTCCCAAAATGCAGATGCAGCCACAATGGGAGGCATTAGAAGTGCTGCAAATCCCTGTTCTCAAGGTACCCCCCTGCAAGAGTCTTGGTGCTGCCATGCTCTGGAAAGCAGGAAAAACAGTGCTAAAGGAGGGACTTCTGGAAGCTTTAGATGTTCTGTGTGAAATTCACGTGTCTGAGGCTGTTAGATTATATTATCTATTATTTATGGGATTCTATTATCATGCAGCTAATCCACAGAGGATATTAAGTGTGTGGCTGCTGCCAGGAGGGGATTCTGGTTTCCATCTCACGTGAGAGCCTTGTGTTTTATTTCTGGAGGGTCAGCCACTGATGACAAACAGACACTGCAAGATCTGCCTAAACTAAACAACTCATTTGTGCCTGTATAAAACAGGGGTTTGAGATTTCACTACCTACAAAAGTATAAGGGGCTATTTGAAATTCTAAGTCCAGCTGAACAGGCAGAACTCAAATTTTTAGAGGGCCGACCCCATCGTTTTCACAGAGTCCAGCAAACAGACCAAGCCTCTGGGTTTTGGATTGCAAAAGGAATTGATTTTATAAAGTGATTTTGCAGCTCTGGAACCACATCCTGCAGTTTGACTGGGGGAAAGTCTGGTTTCAAAAATAAGATACACGTTTAAAATGTTAATTAGTAATTTAAAATCTTCCTGTAAGGCTCAGTTTGAAAGCCGGTCTTAAAAATATGTTAAGTCTTAAAAATATGTAAACTGTCACGGTGCACAGATGATTCCTTCTGAGATAATTTATTCCTTCCTCATTTGAGTCTATGACTGTATTATGGCTCAACTTTTATCCCCTCTCAATTCAACAGATGTTTTTCAATTAAATCAGGAGAAGCAAAATCAGCAGGTAAAAATGAATAATTTATGAGCCTTACTCTGTGATTTTTAAAATCACGGCGTTCCAAATTACAGATGGATTTTGGGGAGGTTTCAAAGACTCTGACAAGCCATTTGTGCTGAGCCAGGAGAACTGAACTGTTTTCTGTATTTTTTTTTTTGTTTGAACCCGGCTGGGAATCCCTGTGGAGAAATGTGTATCCAACAAATGGGCTGAGCACAACCAAGTGCTCTGGGGTGGAGCAGGAGGGAACACATCCCCCAAAAACTCATCACTTTGCCATAATCAGTGATTTACCACATAAATTTAATGACAAGAAATCCATGAGAATATTCTTGGGAAAAATGAAAAGCATCATCATGTCTGGATCCTCATATAGAGCTGAGACAAGAATGTTGTTGAGGTAGCGCTGTTTTGTCATGTGTCTGCATCTGTCAGTCCTTGAAATATTGTAAATGTAAAAACATAGTATTTCCATTATGATCCCCATACAGTGTTACAGCATTCTGACAAAAAAAAAATTCCTATAAAGTTCTGCTAAAAATCATGATATAATACTTTATATTGCAATAATTCTCTTCACTGAAGTATTATTTTGCATTTCCCCTCTCCTCTTATGCCCAAAGGACAGTGAATGCCATAAATATATGTATTTTCTCATTTTCTGAGGGTGTCTCTTTTCTATTACTCCTTCCATTGCAATATTCTTAGGAAAAGGTTGCTGTAACACGAGGTGATGTGAGGCAACAGAGAAGAAGAAGTGAGGAGATTTTATGTTATCAATTTTACAGGTTCAAGTAGGGTTCAGGTAGGTAGAATTCCATCAGGTAGAACCCAAAGAGGACAACCAAAGCAACTTATTTTACAGAAATTGCCATGATTTCTCAGTGTCAAACGACCAGGATGTGCTTGGGAACCACTTGTTTGGTTCCTGACCCATCCAAGCACAAGCCTTGCCACCCCTTGAGGTCTTTTCAGCTTTTAATGACCAGCTCCAAACATGTCCTGCATCTGAACAAGCCTGTTCCCATCACTGGCTGGGCAAGACAAGTTCCTTGAGGCAGTCAAAATATATGAGAGAGGAAAATATTTAGCCCCTGCCACCTTTATGGTTAGATAATTAACATTTTCCTCGAGCAACTAAATCAGATACATTAAAAAAAAAAAACCAACATGGTTATGGGTTAGAAAAATTAATAAGGAAAGATATAAGCCTCACACAGTAACACAAGAGTAACAGCCACATGTAAAACATGGCCTTGATGTCTCTGGAGTACTTTGTGTGGTTTTGGGAGGTTTCTCAATGTCTTCTCCTCGAGTTTCAACACATAAATCTATAATTGGTCAGAGCTCTTCGTTGTGTGCCCGACTTGGTAACAATCACTAGACAAGTAAAGTGGCCCTAAACCTGCCTCTCGTGAGCTCTAAATTCCAAGTAGACACAATTCCTACAGGGATTTTAACCGTGTTTGGAAGGCACTGGGCACACCCTCCATCCCCTCACCCCCAGACGAGCAGGGAGCACTCAGATTTAATATTCCATTTGAGGGTGTGGGCACTGGGACAAGCCCCAGGAGCTTTGCTGCTGACTGCTTCTGCAAGAACCACACTGGAGGGATAGTAAACACTAAGTGACTTTTAAGTAGCTTTTAGAGCAATCATATGTTAATTATAAAAGCATCTATGTTAGTCTCTACCTCCTCAACACAATCTTTAATGCATCTAGAGCCCTAACTATTTATATATGCCTGCTTCCTCTTGATTATAGAAAGCTGCAGGCAGCCAAGCTTTCCATTACTGGTCCATTACTATTTTAGTGTGCCTAATACATATTTTTTCTATTTTTTTTTAAATATATTACTGCATCATGTATCATCTAAAGAGAATCAAAATAGGTAACATAAATACATTAAGTTTTAAAACCACCCTAAAAAGATTTTGGATGTGGAGGCAGAGAAAAGTTCAACCTCTTGGCCAGTGAGTAACAAAAATAATTGTGTTTGCTGTGATCCTCCAAGCAGCGTCTGGGTTCTACAGAGCTAAATACTCAGGGGAGTCAGGATGTTAAAAATTTGACTAAACAGAACATTTGTCATCAGAATAAGTTTTAAATTTCCACCGAAAATGTGAACTAGTCAAAAGTCACCTCACCAGAACTACAGCACCTACTGACAGAGCAAAATTTACTCTTTGCACCTCTGGGCAATCTGATTTCTTTCTAACTCCAGGACCTTCCATCCCATGGCACTGGAAAGATAACAACAGCCTGTACAGTGATTCCTCTCCCAGAGAGCTCTACTGACTTTTGGAAGAAGAAAAACAGTAAAGAAAGAAATCTGAAGTTCTTAAACATACATGTGAAAATGAATGTATGGTTGGGGTTAACGAAATTTTGATGTTGAGAGAGTGTGATTTAAAGAAGGGGCCTCTGGAGATCCTCCAGTGCCAAGGCAGGGGCACCTGGAGCAGGTGACTCAAGAGCACTGAACAGAGATACTGAAATATAGATCCCATTTCTTTTCTCCTTCCTGGACCTTTGTGGAACTCTCACCACGAGAATCTACAGCACAAACCTGTGGCATTTGATCACACTAATGAATCAAGAAGTTTTAAAGTGCCTTTAATTATGAGCTGTTGAGGACGCAGAAATTAATCCTAACTTGTCATCCCTTATTAATTCCATTGTATCATAACAGCTACATGGCCTTTGTCCCAGTCTTCATGTGAATGCACAAAAATACATTGAAGATTAGCACTTTTACTGGCCCATCCAGAGGATGGTGTGGTGATGAATTTCCCGTTGCTGCAGTGCCATTAAAGGGCACCCTTGGACTGGGACCTGCCCTGATTCACTGCCTGGAGAACCATCCCTTTCCCCCTTGTCAGCCTCACTGGGCTTTGCTTTGGGCTGATGGGAATTACTCCAAGGTTTGAGTTGCCTGAGTGACTGCAGGGAGCAGGATCCCCTCTGTGGGTTGTTAGTGGCCCCCCTGGCAGGGCAGCAGGGAGCAGCCACCCAGAGCTCCCAGCTGTAATTATCGGTCAGCTCCAATTCTCTCTAATCTTTCCCTCCTCTGCCTCCCAGCTGTCAGCTCGTCTTAAGTCATGGGTGGTTGCCTCAAAGAGATTGATGATGCTGGTGATAATGGGATGCATTGACTTGTGACTTCAATTTGGATCTTATCACTGGGATTAAAAAAAAGGCAAACAAAAAAAAAACAAAAAGCAAACAAATTGGAATCCAAGTTCTTATTTCAATGTTTTCCTTCCCCCTTTTGTCTTTTAGATTCATAATGGTGGCTACTCTGAGTTTTTTGCTTTCTCTGGCTGACTCACTTCTTCACCATAATCTTTAAGAAGCACTGAAATGCCCTATAATTTATACCCTACAACAGTGACTTTTAATTCAAGATGTGTCTATGGTAGAGATATTCCAGTTTCTAAAGTCTTTGGGCAGACTTCAAACACATCTACACCTGAATAATTAAAGAAGGAACTGGTCTTTTTTTAATTCATAAGTGGAGGCTTTGCCTGGATGAGTAAAACTGGATACCCAAAATCAAGAGCAAGATAAGAAACATGGCTTTCGTGTTTTTCTCCAAATTATATTAACACTGCTCATACACTAAATTACCAACCCATTTGACTTAACATGGAAAATTTGGCTTTACCTGAGACTCTGCCTACACCTTTAAATTAAGAAATGTCCAAAGGGGAGTTCTTAGAGCCAGGAAAGCAAAGTGTGTCTTCTCCCCATAGTTCTGAACCATGGCTTAGCAAATCAAAATGAGGTTTTATTGTTACCAGCACTTACAAATCCTCTCTGAGTTAGTGGCAATTGTAGCCTGCAGAAGAAAAAAAATGTTAAAATACATGAACTTTTCTTTGATCTCTGATATAACCAAGCTTATTTACAACTTTGAACTGAGGGAGAAGAGTGTGGTTAATTTTTCAATGATTTTTTTTTTTCCCCATACTTGTTTTCTACACTTTCCCTTTTGAACCACATGGAGTTCAAAGCACAGAACTTTCCCAAGAAACAAGTATCTTGGTTTTATTTCTGGTCTCACTAAAACCAAGAAGCAATGTAAATCTCATTTCAAACTCTCATTAAATTGCCATCTGGATTTCCAGACCAAAAAGGTTTGGAAATGTTGAGCTAAACTGCAGATAAGCAACCAAATTACTGGATGCTTCTCCAGACTAAATCTCTGATTCACTTAACTCTCTTTCCCGAATATTTTCTCTACTGATGTGTAAAACACAAAAGTATTTCATTTTCACATCAGCAGCTACACTTGCAGTGCTGGCAGATCATAAAAAAGGGGGAAGGGTGGGTGTATTTATGGAGGGAAAGGGCTGATGCTCCACTGCAGCAGAAGAACATAAAGTCAGAGGAGCATAAAGAAACCATGGAACTGTTCTCTCCTGAACACAATAACCAAGTTTTTTTGGAAGCCAGCTAGGGCAACGGGGACACCCAGATAGTCAGGGCCAGAAAGAACAAAGCATTCCGAGGTCATCAGTGCTTTACAAACTTTTTCTTCAAGTCTGCAACTGCTACAAACTAATGAGCCACAGGGTGTGGCACAGCCTGCCTGTCTTACCTTTAATGTCATTGTTGGATGGGCTCTTCCTGCAAGGTCACTGCATTTCCCTGGGGGTTAAGTACTTTTGGGGGGCTGGAGGGAGCGATCCCTGTCTGTAAAATACTCTGGGAACCTTGGGAAATGTTGTACTTTTATTACTCTTCTCATCCTCACCCTCTGCTCTGAGGCTCACAACAATTCTGGCAATAAATGTAGCCTTGGGACACGGGATTAGTCAGCAAATGCTTTACAGGTTAGAAAGAGAAGATGGTTTCATGTTGACACAGTTCACATTTCACAGTTCCTGCTCCAAACCTGTACCCTTTTTGCTTTTAACTTGGGGGTTTATTCCAGGGTGGGGTGAAATCCTGGCCATCCATCGAAATCCATCCAAACTAATGGCAATCCTGTTGTTGCCTGGAATAAAGCTGTGATTTCACTCTATCTTTACAAGCATCTATCTCATTTTACATATTGTAGTCTTCAGGGTATGGAGTTTTCACTGCAGATGTATTGAACCGAAGGAATGTTTTGAGGACTGAAAAAATTAAAAAAAAAAGTGGCTTTAAAATGATGAATCTGATGGACAGAAGTATTATCCAAAAGCCACAAACCCATAAATAAGTATATTTATTGCCCTGTAATGTGCCAGAATGATATCTTTGCAGTGCTTCCTTCCTGATGTAAAGACAAAGCATCAATCACTGAATTTTCAGTCATTCCAGGTTTAAGAAAAGAAGCAAAGGACCAGCCTATAACGTATTTGGAGCAGATGACATTGATAATCAAAATTATTTTTCAATTAGCATACAAAGAGATTCAAATTTAGATTAATGTAACCCATTTCATGTTTTACAGGAAATATTGATGAAGCAGAACGAGAGTGGAAAGCAGGATTCCATCGCTGGAACAATTACATGTCAGACTGGAAAAATCAATTTAATGATTACACCAGCAAGAAGGAGCTGTGCAAGCTCTAATTAATATGTTTACCCTTTCCAGTGTGTCCCTAGAACTCTTCATCAGGCAAATATCCTGGTAGCTTTCTAACATGTCTGGCATTAAATGTGTTCTGCAGATTAAAAAATCAAAACAACAATGTTACAGATATAATTTTGATTCCTCAGATCTTTCATTTAGATTTTCCCTCCTATCTCAATAAACAGTGTATGGCATCTGTACCCTTTGAAACTTCGCTGGGTTAAATAGGACTGTAAAGTCTGAAGATTAATGATGTACATGTTATTATGAATATTAGCTGCTTAAATTCAAAGAGACAATGTAATCTCTTGGAGGAAAATGGATTTTTTTTTTTTTTTAATAGGAATAGCAGTGGTTTACAGTGTTATCATGCAAAACACAGTTGGGTTTGATCTTTAACTGCAGCACCACCACACTTAAACCTTGCTTCAGACATAGCTGAGTTGACATAAAGGTACAATAGCTTTGCTGAACACTCCAAATGATATTTGTTTGCTGGACAAAAAAAAACGTTTTAGGGCTGCCATTAAAGTGGGAACCACTTTCTTCATGGCCAGATTTGTAGGACAAAGCCACGTTAGGAGAGGATTCAAACTGTGTATTGAAAGGCTAAACCATCAGCACTCTGAGTGCAAGTGTTGGGGTGAAACAAGGCAGAAAACCCGACACCTCTGCTTCCCCCATCCTCATTTTTCAAGGAGTGAGGAACTACAGGCTCACAAGGAATGAACTCACAGCTTTCCCCTGCTCAGTCACCCGCTGTCTTCACCTGGTAAAAGTCTCTGCTGTGGAGACAAGCTCCAATTATGACATTTTTGTCCACTGAGTTGCCTCCTAGTCAGGGGGCAGCCCCATGGGACACAGCAGACAAGTCTTTGCACCTGCAGAACAGGTGGTGGCAGGTTCAGAGGATCACAGAACAGGCTGAGTTGGAAGGGACCCACAAGAACCCACCAGGATCAAGTCCAACCCCTGGCCCTGCACAGGAACATCCCCACGGATCACACAAAGAAAATTGGCCAAATACTTCACCAAATGGTTCATCAAGAACCAGCCAGGAGGGGAACCTTGCCAAAAACTCCTCTTGGAGAGGGTTGGGAAGGGCATCACTGCAGAGCAATGTTGTGCCCTGGGTGGGAAGGACCCAGCTCTTTGACATGCTCTAGGGAGCTCTACCTGCCACCTCCCAGACCCCTTTCTACCCACCTGAGCTGAACCTCTTAGAAGCTTCTAAAAAAAAAAAAAAACAAACCAAAAAACCTACAACCCTTGGATAATTCCCTTTCCTGCTTCTCTGCTTCTGTGGTGATGGGGCTGGAATTTTTATGCCTGAATAACACCTTAATTGGCTGCTTTTCGCTGGCCCAACTGGGAAGGATAAATGCCAAAAATTTGATGAACGTAAGTAGTCTGTAAAAGCAACAAGGCATCTCATAAATAAATTATCCTGGAGCTCTCTGTAAATGCAATAACATCTCAGTGCATCTATTTTCTGTTCTGGTGATTGCAAGCTCTTGCAAAATGCCTCTTTGGATTGAGTAGAGTGAAGAGATCCAGATAATGAACAGAGAGTGTTCTCTTTCTGGCAATCAGTTTGACCACACAGGATCCCTGCACTGAGAGGATTTATTTATACAGAAAGGCCAAGTTCTGCAAGAGATGATGGCTTATCATCTGTTCAGTTATTTCCAAGAGAACACAATTATTTCCTGGCTACATTATGGGAAGCCACCTTTTAGCACAGTATTTCAAAGGCTGCAGTCAAAGCTTCACAATGAAAAAAAAAAAATCTGATTTTTGAACAGGCTGATCAAAACTTAAAATTACCTGGGATTAAAAAGTGCTTTTAATGCAGCACTACATGTTTATAGGAGAGATAAGAAGCTCATTACATATATTAGCATAGTTACTGCTATTAATAATGGCATGGAGAGCTGTGTCAGTCTACAGTGCATTGGGTATTTATTGAATATTCTTCATGCTGGTGATGAGCTGCTGAAAATAAACACAGGAGGATGAACTTTCTGCCCATCACTGAGCAGTTCTGGCACTGCCCATTTTATTTCTGGCCTTCATAGATGTGCTGGGTGCTGATCTGCCACAATGAGCATTGACAGCACCAGCAGCACATTTAAAAGCAGCATTTGTTTCTTTTGATATCCTTTTCTTCGATATATTTCCCCCTCCATCTGTCTGATCAGCCTAATAAATGAGGGGAAAAATACCTGAGCCAATTAAAATGTAAAATAACCTTTGGAAAGGACAGGTGGAGAAGCAGTTCATAAAATATTTTGCTGGGAAGGTGTCTTTTTTGTGAATAAAAAAGAGGTCAAACCACTTTTCGAGATGTGGTTTTACTGATTTCTTGGTGTGAGTTGGTGGCTTTGTATTTATTCACATGCTGGGAAATTACATCTCCATTTATCATCCATATGAAATCGCTATATCATGTATATATTCATGCCTCACACATACAAAAAAGGAAAAAACAAGTACTTGGATGTAAATGGTTAAGGTAACAAAGAGGAAAGAGACAAACCTGTGTCATTGATAATATCAGATCACCCAGACCTCACTGACGATGTAATGTTGTTAATTATGTTTTATTTTTGCTCATGAGAGCTAAAACACACAAGTTCCTCTGTGAAAGCAGAGAAAATGTGTTGATTCTTTCTTACCATTCTTGATATCCAAAGCAAGGATTCTGAATTTGGGCACAGACTTGTTGAAAGGTTATAATAAAATGAACTGCAACGCCAACAAAAGTGTTGGCATTAAACCAGTTGTCATCAGGTTTATAATCTACCAGCACAATGGTTAAATGACAGACATCTCACACATATTTTAGGAAGAAGTCAGATATTTCCCAGCAAAACTGTTTAATAAAACCACCGTTTATTTATTTATTTATTTTTCATTTTAAATGTTTTGCTCTGAATGAATTTGGGTTAGATAAACTTTGAGTAAAGCTCAGAATTCTTTGAGTGAAATCCCATCTGCTCCCCTGCTGGAGAGAGCCGGGATGTTGTTCATGGTACCTTGTCTAGGACCAGTCTGCACAGCTGGACCGACCAGTGTTGATGCCTTTTCACCCTGAACAGGGGCCTTCAGCCCCCAAAAGTCATCTCTAGCTAACTAAGACCCTCCCAAGGTTTCCAGGCTTCCTCCCAACTGCAGATTTGACACTCATTTTTGGGGAGGTTTTTGGGATGGGTGCTCAGGCCGTGCTGTCCTAAACCTCGGCCATCGCTCCAAGTTTATCACACTGATAAAGCCAAACTTCTGTGTAAGTGGAAGTCTGCCTTTTGGCCTTTTTTGGTCACTAGAGGTTATTTATACAGCAGAGATTAGTGCTCTATAAACACAGAGATAGATGTGCCCAGTCTAGATCTTCACGAACAGACAACTCATCTCTGTCGGCTCCCAGTTGGAAAAGAATCTTTGCAACATAAGGAATCTAAGCCTTGTTTTTTTTATAATTACTACTTTAATTAGAGTGCTGGAGAGAAAATTACCTCAGTTTACGAAAAAACTGATGGAGGGCCTCCTAATACTCCTTTCCCAACAGACCATCAGCAGGTGATTTGGCCCATTTTCGGGTGCAGATCCCACATGGATTAATCCGAACGTGGCATGAACAGAGGAGAGATGTATATCTGTCTCTATCAACATGATAATGTCGTGGGTTTGGGCTTGATTGTGGTTTATCATTTCTACTGGCTCAGCACCAGTTCTGCAACATCATCAGCAGCTATTTAGGGGCCACAACAAACGTCACTGTCCTTGAGTTACACCTGCAGCGTGTCCAGCTCGTGAAGAGCAGCCTGAGCTGTCACTGCCAAGTGCCAGCCTGGCCACAGAATCCTCTTGTCCTTCCTTCCCTTCCAGTTGTGGGTGGATGGGGAGGGAATTTAACAAGGGGGAAGATAAAACTCCAAAAAAAAAAAAATCCCAAAGAAACAAGAAGGGAGAAAAAAAAACCCAAATAAACACATGGGGGAAAAAATACAAGGGGGAAAAATAGTTAAAATCCAAAGGGAGGAATTTGAAAAAATAAACAAGGAAGGGATGGAAAACAAACAAACAAACAAACACAAGTAAAAAATGAAGGGGCAAAAAAATAGTTTAAAATGTCCCAGGGGGGAATTAAGAAAATGAGCAAACAAGGGGAGGAATAAAAAAACCTGAAGAACAAAAACACAAAGGGGATAGTGGAAAAAAACCCCAACCACTGAGGGGAGAACAAAAATTAAGGAGAATAAAAAAAAATTAAAAAAGGAGAAGAAAAGACCCCTCCACAACCCTTTCTGCCCGAGAATGAACAATTGAAGGGGATAGTACCATACCCAGAGGTACTGAGTATCCCAGGGTCTCTGTTCCAGTAACTCCAGCCAAAAATCCTCCCACTGAACTGCCAAATAAGTTTAGGAATTTGACAGTGATTCAGAATACGGGGTGAGGAATGAGACAGGCAGGTTTGTCTCGGGCTTGGGGCTGCATGGAAAGTGCTGGTGCCAGCTGACCACTCTCTCCCTGCCTTCTCTCTTCCAGCCCATGGAATGAGGGGCATTTGCCAAAAACTCCCTGCCCTTGGCCAGCCGGGGAGCCCAAACCCCAGCACCTGTGTGAGGGATCTGTGCAGCTGGAAACGTTCCCTACGGCTGCTCCACGTGCCACAAACGTGTGGATTTACTCTGGGTGGGTTGGGAACAAGAATTCATTAGGGAAAAATAAAAAAAAAAAAGCTTCCCTGCTGAATTACAAGTATTTCTTTCTTTCTCCTCGCTCTGTTTTTGTTTAGCCTCGTTTGTCTCTGGTTCTAGGTGGGTTTTTCCATTGCTAAGTGATTGCTGTTGGATGAGGGGGAAGAAACTTAAATTGAAAAAGGAAATCTTTAGCAAAACAGACAATCTGAACTATTTGCATACAGGAACTTTGGGATCTACAACAGGAATTTGGCAACTGTGTGCACAGTTATTAACAACCTTGATAATAACACAGATATTTAACCACCTCCACTCTGTTCTGTGAGCTGGGGGGACCAAACAGTGTGTCTCTCTCAGGGAATATGCATCCATGCACACGTATATCCACAGAAATATAGGATCCCAGCCTACCCAGCAACATGAAGATAAAAACTTAGACGTTCCACTTTGAAAACACAAGCCCGGTACCTTTTTGGTCTTTACCGAACAATAAA